TATGGCACACTCTTGAGATCCCACCGAACATAGAGCCGTTGCCTTCTTACCAAATCGATCTTTTTTTGCAGTTGATGTTGATGGTTGTCCTGGTTCCATTCCATTCTATTTCTCACATCAAAATCATAATCTCTGAACCGTTGAAACCATCTTTTGTAGGTTGCTTCTGATAGAGTATGATCACTATATGCCTCGTCAAGCTTTCGATGCGACTCTGCAGAATTTTTCTACAAAATCGTACGATTTTTTGAGAAACATTATGAGGTGTTTGCAATTACGCGAATTAGTCTCTAAGCTTTTGAGATATCGATCTGGAATGTTACAATGTTCTTATCTCTTCAGGACGCTGTTCATTTGTCAGAACCGCCGATATCGGACTGTCATGGCATATTGCTTCCATATACATACATATACTGAACGAACAAAATAAAAGTCTTGTACGGAAAACTTTTTTAACTTGGCATGGACTGATGTCGAAGGCAACGGTGCAATATGCAAAGAAACTGTTCAGATTGGCCAAATATAGCTTCTAGCTGTCATACCAGTCAAAATATTATCATTTGTATTTGTGAACGGTATTATAGCTTCCCTGCAACTGAAAGTTAAAGTTTTTTCTGGTTTTTGTTTTTATAATAACCATTTCTTTAAGACTCTGTGTCAACTGTCGCTAATGCAGAACCCTGTATGTACATATTAATGCACTTTACACTTTGCTCTTCGCACCTGTTCTTTAAAAATTTATTCATTCAGCTGTGGCATTTATATTTCTCTACTTGTTTTTTTTTTTTTTTTGAGTATTTTGACAAGTTGAAAATATCGTTGAAAATGAATCTTTTGTGCAACTCTTGACATTGACATTTAGACATGACTTTGCATCTACTCGTTGCATTTGTTGTATTATATGTATGTATATAGTAAGGTCAGAAATCGACACACATAAGCGGGTCTAACTACGCACCGCAGATAAATATTTTACTAAAACATGGATAGATTTTTGAAAAATAATTAGTTAAATATTTTTTTGAATTCCAACTATATTTCATCGACTATATTTTTTATAATTACATAGAGACATACCATATGTATGCAGATTAAAAGCTCATTCATCGTTTGCAAGGGCCATTCAATAGAACTAACACTTAGTAGCTGTGTTTTCTGATGTCAACTGCAGATAAATATATTAAGTCACACAATTTCGTTACCTTGCGCCATTTCTGCTCAAGTCAAAAAAAAAAAAGAAAAAGAAGCAACGAATAATAGGGCAGGTGGCGAAATTTGACAATAACTGAAATGAGCACAAGAAATAATTTGTCGATGGACTTTACTCCGAGAATCTGCCAAAGTACATATGTATATATGTATTTACATGTGTGTATCCGTCAGAGATAACATATCAACTTGTTCGTGTGAGTACTTAGTAACCAACTGAATATTTCTAATCTTCTTTAGAGCACTCAATAAAACGGATTTCTATCCGGTTTTAAAAATAATTTTTACAATGAATACACTTTCATCGTTTAGCCCATATAAAAGGTGATCCATTTCGAGTTTCCCTACTTTAGAAAAAAAAAAAAAAAAAAAAAAAAAAAAAAAAAAAAAAAAAAAAAAAAAAAAAAAACACACACAGAAACTTCAAATTTAGAGATTAATGTTTGTTATCGTCCGAAAGAACATTCTTATTTATTTATGTTCTGTAGATTATTTCTGTAAAATATTGGGCGTGACTAGGTCTCAGATGTTCCATTCGTTGAGTCTAATTTTCAATGACTTGTTCGAGCATTTCGACTGGTAACTGGTGAATGAGATGAGTGATGTTTTGCTCTAAGCCCTAAATCGAAGCGGTATTGTCTGTATAGAATTTAGATTTTACATATCATCACAAGAAAAGTCCAATCGATCGGCCTAAAACGCGAAATTATCTGCTCACCAAAGTGTTCTCTCAATAAATCGATTGATTGATGCGATGTGTGGGAAGTGACGGCGCCGTCTTGATGAAATCAAAAGCCACCGAGATCACGAGCTTCACTTTCAGCCCTCAAATTATCGGTTATGGCGGCGCAATAACGGTCACCATTGACGGTTACGTTCTTACCGGCTTAATTTTTAAGAAAATATGAACTGATGATTACACCGATGATTACGCCAGCCGTTGTTTTTTCTGTATGAAATGTCAATCTGTTCAGAATGCTCTTCGTTCCAAATGCGGCAATTTCGCTTGTTTTAAGCCAGAAATGGTATCATCACTGATTAAATTCTGCTCGTCAGATCTTCTTGGAACTTTTCAAGAGCGCCATTTTGTACGTCTATTCTATTTAAGATTTCGACGTAACATGCTCCAAATCGTTTCCTACGTCAGTCCTGCTTTTTTATCTTCCCTGCAATAATGAATGCAGGGTCTTAAGATTTTCATCTACCTGAAATAGCTTTGTACCTAAGTAAATAAACAGAATAGAAAATTCCTGTTTTCTGTTATTACTTCGGAATGATTTGAAAGAGTTTACTAATCGGTTTTAAAACTTACATCCTAACAAATTATAATACGCCATGACTATGATTGTGTCTCCTCTACTGCTGTTTGGAAAATCTTTCAATTATCTTTTAAATTTTTCCAGTAACACTTTAGTTTTTGTTAAAGGTTAGCTTTTTAAGGCCAAACGTAAGCCGAATACATCTATACATATATGTATATATAAGTGAATGCTCATAAAACCGTTATGCCAATTTTTGCCAATATCTTTTTTCACCGTATTTTGTATTAATAACTCAATGTCGAACAATGTTGCTTTGTTGTTGCTTGTGTTTACATTTGTACTATTTGCATTTTATTTAGTACATATGTTACGTATATATACTATACCTATGTATATATATGAAATCTATATGTATATAGGTGTGTATGTGTATACTTGTATGCCTGTATGATTGCTGCTGTCTTCTGTCATATTCTCTAACATTTTACTACTCACTCATAACGGCACACAATAGCGTCCGTCAGATGTGATGGCTTTATCGATTCATTATTGGTGTTATTGCAAAATGATAAAAGAATGATAGACAAATTAAGTTAATTGTTGGACAGCAAACTAATTGGCAGTGAGCGTGAAAACGATTCCAAGCGATATGAGGATGATGACGGAAGCATGGAAATATGTAATATAGGTGAAATATAATGAGGTTGGCAGGTAATGTCAAGCCCATCTCTCCTAAAATCCATAGACTGTTCACAACAGCTGCTAAACGTGGATGAAAGTCTTGCATGCGTATCTAAAACTTAGTTTTAAACTCAAGTTCCTGATAAAAAAAAAAAATTAAAAAAATCATGTACTGTTATACCCTTTTGATTGGATCAAAGTCATATCAGTTGCAATACTCCTGGAACTTATCTTTGGTGTTTGCAATTTAAACAGAAAACTCTTAGAAATATTTCCCGAGTCTACTCCAAAATGCAATGAACCACTTTTTCATATTCTGCAAGCAGATTTCTCAATCAACAACTAGTGAAGTTCCAAAAACTTTGTTCAGCGATGAATCGAACAAACTACTGGTATAAATGAAAGATATTGGCATAATCTTGTAGATACAGAATTCTAAGGCGTTTGTACGACTATACTAAGATCTCTACCGGACAAAAATTCTATTTTCAAGACAGTTTAAAGCAATTATTAAATAAGCCACTTTCTTATAGCGTTTTAAGAGTCCTGAGAGTTCCTTCTTCAATAAATGTGATTGTAAGAGAGCCTCTAGAACTAATTCAGTCTTTTAGAACCGTTTTTGATAATTTGCAAGCTATTTTTCAGTCAGTGGTTAGTTCTTCAATTCGACAAAATTCGACGGTATAAATGAAAGAGATTTGCATAATCTTTTAAGCACAGAATTAAAAGGAGTTTGTACCATTTTACTGAGATCTCTGAGAACTATAGACAGATTAAAGTAATTGTTAACTTAGTTAAATAAATATTCATTAATTAACTTGCACTCGCTCTTTCAATTGGTCATTTAATCAGAGCCTTACATGTATATTATAAATTTGGGTAAAAGACTAGCTGAGAAGTCTTTAAGAATTGTAAAAATTGAAAGTTAAATGAAATCTGTTGGAAAGAATAGATAAAATAACAAATATTAGAGGCAAAATAGTTTACGAGCGATCTGAACTCAGGAAGGGGAAGGAGGGCAGCGTGTTTGGATTCTTAAGGATTAAAACGGTTTATCTACATTTGTGGCGGAAGTAGTAGTACAAAAAAAAAAAAAGTTATGAGGCAAAGTCGTAGGTAATAAAAAGATTGAAACTTTTGTATTAACGTCTGTTTACATAACCTCAAAATTTATGTGATAAAATCAACTATCGAAGGTTTTGGGTTCTTTATCTTTATCTTTTGATTTAACTTTATCTTTATATTTATATTTATCTTAATCTTTATCCTTAAATATATCTTTATCATTACCTTTACCTTTATACTACACTGCTTTATAAATGTCCGCAATAATTTCCACTCACTCAATCACTCTCTACTTGTTGCTTTTTTCAGAGCGCTTAGTCGCGCCAAATTTTTTTTATCGCATGACATATTTTTTTCCTCGCATTACGAAACTGCTAGATGGTGACGATGACCTATTTGACATTTAACCTCTGTCGGCAATGTGCACAAATTACAGTAATCGGTAAGCGGCTTAGACAGGGTGCGACTCGCAGCACTTTTGCTCATTTCACAAATTGCAAGTAATAAGCAAGAAAAGCAAATGCGTGGTTGAGAGAAGGGAAAACAAGGAAAGCATAAGCAATTTCCTTTTGCGACACAGAGTGTCTGTCAACAAGCATTAGTACATACATATGTATGTCATGAAATATATCACTAATCCAGTATCAAGTCTGTCTATGACGGTTCTCATATATTATTATTTTTATATTCTATATATAAGCACATATGTATGTATGTATTTTTATATATTTTTCGATATCAAATTTCGTTTAACATTGTTGTAATTTCCTCTGTCTTTTGCAGAAACGCCTACGCGCCGCACCATTGTTAAATCTAGTGTTTGCCAATCGGAAATTGTCCTTTTACGATACCAGCCATACACCCGGCAGAGACGACGGCATGCGGTAAAATAATACATATGTATACACACACACATATATAAATATATATATATATGTATATACTAAAGCATTCCGAACCTTGTTTAATATCTAATGTATAGTATACGTTGGGTTTACAAAGCACAACAAATATCAGTTTCGTTTAATATCCGTACTAATTTATAAATATACAAAGCTTTAGCTAATACAAAAAAACTGTTTTAAAGCGCATAAAGCAACTAATTTTGCAGTTTCAAAAAATATGCTAAACTTTGTTAAAATCTTTTATATTATTGTATTATATTTTTGATTTTTTATTGCTTGCTTTCAAATTGTTTGGTGCCAGTGGTGCTGTGACGTCACGCTGAATGTCTACCGTTACCGATTTCTATCCCCAAACCCTTCTATATATAGAAGTATATATTTAAGTCTACATATTGGTTCCATACTTTTAGGTGATTATGGCATTTTTTTTTAGAACATTAGAAGGATTAAAATATTGACTCTGATGCTTTCCAAAAACGAGAAGGATTTCGACACAATTTTATGAAAAATAATATGATTTTTTTTTCTACAAATGTCACCTAGTAATATAAAGGAATTTATCATAGAAATGAACAAAGGAGATGAGTGTTGTCCATAGAAGATTTTTGCAAAGGCCTTGCCTTTGAATTTTAAGGCTCACGAAGTCATGTTGTTACCGAGTTAAACTTCATTCGAATTCCATGTGAATCGATATTTTAGTAATTGTGGTTAGATTCAGTTTAATTCTATTCCCAGCACTGTGGTAGGCTTTGAGTTCCCAAAGCGTGGCAACTCGATTGCTTACGATCGATCGATCTTGAAAGCAAAGCGCTCACTGGATCGTTTACGATCGATTTAAGCCCAAAAGTTCCTGGGAAGCCCAACTATCCAGTAGTAGAACACACGAGTAGACCCGTTCCAATGCTACCTTCCTTGACAGCTTATCAGCTTTACAGTTGTCGGCTATTCCGCTATGGCCTGGCATACATAATAATAATAGTCAGTCCCTACCAATGAGAGGACCTCCCTCCCTGCTACCAGAGAGGACAGTCACTTCTATGAAGGAGGCTGAACACCGGAGAAATAAATCTACAGTCGCCTTAATGGCAGCAAACTCGACTTGAAAATCACTGCAATAGTCAAAAAATCTGCACTGAAGTTGATAGAGGGATCCTTTCTCCCTAAACTTTCATCAATACGTAGAAAAATTCACCCCCCACCAATGGCTCTTTCCCACCCACAGCTCGCTTGCCGGTATATGTGCAGACAAAAACCCACCCAGTTTGGTTTAGAGACTGCATGATCCAAAAGAATTGATATAAAGTCAAAGCGTGTGGGATTTCCAAATGTTCAGACATGTGTTCATTTAGAAACCCAGATTCTCTCATTCTGATAGCAACTTTTACGCAAAATGGCATTAAGTGCCATGATGGGAGTGTATCTTAGTGCAACACATATGCTGATCAGCGCGGCTAGTTGAACGCTTTAGAGCTTCCTTGCAAGTGTGGTCTTTTCTAGGACCTTCCACCAAGCAAAGACTCCGTAGAACATAATGGGTTTGACTATGGTGTCGTAGAAGCAGATGACTAGTTTCGGTTAGAGACTCCACCTTTAACAAGACAATCAACGCTTTCTTTGCTCTCTCTTCTATATCAAGCTGCCATGAAAACTTCCTATCCAGGAATATATTTTAATATTTCATTATATCCGCAGGCTAGTTCTCATTCATCGCAGTCGTGCCTCCGGCATCTTGTATACCCGAAGTAAATGAAGCCTTCTTATTTTTATTTGGACTGATGGCGAGGCTACTTTCGGCTGCTCCATTAGATAATTGAGACACACTTTTGTCACTTCGTATACGGAACACAAAAACTTTCCTTTGACCATGAGTGCTACGTTGTCTACCAAGGATATCACCCGGCAGACATGATCCTCAAGCTTTTCCAGCAGGATGCCCTTAATTCATAGAAAGAACTCCTACTTGTGCGTGTGGTGCTCCTACTCACATTTCGCCGAGCATGTGCCCTACCCCGTTCGATTCAGTCCCAAAACCACCCGAGCTTGTAACTGCTCCCTCTTGTAAGACGTTATTGAAAGTTCCTTCTATATCAAGGAAGATCCGAACAGCGAACTTCTTCATTGAAAGCGGTGTTTCCAAGTTGAAATACAAATGGTACAAAAACAAATTTAGCTTGAACTTACGAATTATTGAAATCACATATACATGTACTATTTGTCTAATTAAAATCAGTTATATTTATTGGAAAAAATATATAAATTTAAACAGAAAGCTGCAAAAATATCTCATTTGTCTTATTGCCAAGGCCACTTTTGGCACTTTCAATGGCATAATATTGTCCATTCAATCAATTTGCAGTTTAATTGATTTGCCAGCGACTATAACAAATCATTATTGCCATGACGATAGTGCATTAAATGCGCAAATATTTAATAGATCAATATTAAACAGAATACGCTTCGTCAAGCTTCATTGATTGATTGAAAGTACTACATCAAATATTAAGCAAAGAGCACGCCTTGATTGATGCGGCAATCGGTAAACTATTAAAAGTCGCAGAAAGTGATACTTTTCAAACGAAATATATATATATATATTTGCTATATAAAGATACATAATAGAATTTCTCAAACACGACGTGACTGCGTGTAAATATTGTGAATTAGTCAAGACAAATATTTCAGGTAGACTCATTTGTAGACAAGGCATTATATGCGAATCATATGCTTGAGCTAATTTTAAGCCGGGATTTATTTTTATACTTAACACATTTATAAATAAAAGCAGATTGTTCAAAAATAGATAGACTTGACACTGCAGCTTAGCGACTTGGCGAAAATGCTGCTATTTTTAGCAGCGCTCTCCTAATCTTACCAAAAGCAAATATCAAACCGTGCGAAATTATTTATATACTTACCTAACAATAGCTTTTATTGCTATGCAAATTGTAGCAGCACAACAACATTGTCGGACAGACGGAAATGTATACTTTAAAACTGAGGTTATGAAGACATAAGAGTTTGGAAAAATAGCAGTAAGATCAGGAAATGTGTAACACAAAAGGAAATATCTGATACTTTTTTAAAATATATAGATACAAGTAGATATGTCACTGATCAGCGTCCCGACTTGAGTCGATTTAGCCGATAGTCAAGACAAGGTTGGCAGACTATTTTTAAGATATCAATTTTGCACACGTGCTTTTCTTCCAAAAAGTCCTTGCAGGAAAAAATACCTTCACAAAATTTTACATAAACTATTGCACAAGACAACCAGTCAAAGTATTCCCTCAAAGCTAATACGGCTGTGTAAGCCGAAGTTAAGCAATACCAAAAGCTCCGTTAGGATCGAGAAGGATCTCTTCGAGCTGCGGAGCTAAATAGAGAAGGTACCATCTTCTATAAGCGCATACAGCTGCTGATGTATGCCGATGCCATTGATATCATTGGCCTCAACAAGCGTGGCATTAGTTCTGCTTTCTCCAGACTGGATAAGGAAGCGAAGCGAATGGGTCTGGCAAGGAACGAGGGCAAGACGAAATATCAGCTGTCATCGAGCAAACAGTATTTTGACAATCATAACTTCGAAGTCGTAGATAATTTCGTGACTCTTGGAACCAGCATTAACACCGACAAGGACGTCAGCTTCGAAATCCAACGCAGCATAACTCTTGTGAACGGGTACTACTTCGGCAATTGAGAAGTAAAGACCTCTCTCGATGAACAAAAACCAAATCCTATAAGGCACTTATAACCGTAGTATAAATAAAGTGACAGCTGCTAGGTAGAAAAACTTAGAAAAAAGTAGATCTTCATATTGGAAATCACAAGTACGATATAAAAAATACAGCCGTTACGTACTTTATCTTCGAACTTTCCTTCTGAGTGTTCCTTGTGCGTGAATATACTGTCTGGAGTTAGACATAAGCCAGCCCTTTAAGTTGTCGGATGACTGCAATATATTTCAAGCTGAGATGTTTGTCATTGCAAAAGGACTCTGCAGGAACCTGCAAGCAATACCAGCGTCAACATCTTCTTAGACAGCCAAGCAGCAGTCAAGGCAGAAACCTCGCATCGAATATTAACCAGAAGTTTTTGGGGAAGCAGGGTTGACAGAAGCAAACAACTTCACTTCTACTGTGTACCAGGCGACAATGGCATCGGCCGGAGATTGCCAAGAATGGTGTACGGATAACACCTGACAACGTCATCAATATTGGGAAAACCATGCATGGCCTTTACGACGATCTGGACAGAACCATGGTAAAGAAAATCAAAACGCGATGGAACGAGCTAATTGGGCGCAAAACATAATTCCTATTCCCACTGGATAGAAGAGACAGTAGGAACATAAACCTAATACTAGCTGTCACTGTCTGGTGGCGATACACGCTCGCAGGATGAGGCTAACAGATCTAGAAGACTGCAGGAAATGTCTAGAGCAGGATAACAGGGAAACAATGGATCATCTCTTGTGCACTTTTCCCACTGGAGGAGGTATCGATAGTGAGGCCACAGCGACTGTTAAATCGCCTCAAGCACAGGTATCCTCAAGGGAGGCTACTCCTCATGGATCTAGTAACAAAACTCCATCTGATATCGCAAGGACCAAACTGGTGTATGCGTGGCTTATTGGTCTAACAGATCAACCTAACCTAACCTAAATTAATATAACCTGTTCAGAGTATAAAAAAAATATATAGTATATTATATTTTCTTCTATGACTAATGAACTGGTAAGAGTTCCTAAGAATTTGACAACCCTTGCCGAAAATTGATAAAAAATTAAATCCATACAATGATGAAACTTTGTTTTTTTGTTAATCAATCAGCTGAGGCTCACTCAAATCCTAGCAGACCACTCAGATTGCTTGGTCGTTGAAGTGCAGACCAGCCATTGCTTCACCTAACGACAGCAGCCGGCAATTTGTAGCAGCCATCGTGTCCGCACGTCCAAAATGATAACGGAATGTGCATTTAAT